GCATGTTAGCATGATGTTAGCATTTAGCTCACAGCAGCACTGTGCACAGGCTGCTAGCTTTAGCTGACACATAATCCTGCCTGGATTATACATCCAAAACCTCCAAATCTAAACCAAAACTATTGATTTGATTAATTAGGTGTAGCTGGTGGATAATAATTCAAAATGGGATAAGAGTAGTTAGTAAAAAAAAAAAGAAATATTTTAAAACAGTAACTGTAATCATGTACTAACATTGTGGAGCTGGGTTACATTAAATAAACACAAAATAAATCCAACAAATTATTTTAAAAAAATAATAATTTATTAATTCAGTTATTAATAAAACAAGTAAATGAGTAATTATAAGTCACAAGTACCCACTTTTGCAGCCCCATTTTCTTTAGATTTAGACAGATGAATTTAATGCATCTTTCTTAAAAGTCTCATTGAGTGCAAAAGAAAACTGAAGACCAAACAAAGCAATTGTCCTTTGTGTTTTCAGCTCTATTTCCTTTGACCTTCACTAGTTTAACTCCATTGCACAGGATAACAAGACTGTTTTATCACGTCGACTGTAAGCTACTGTGGGTTCGTGCCTAAAATGTAAACTCTGGTTCTCATGTGTCATTGAATAAATGAGAGATGAATGAATAAAAAAATAGTCTTCAGAGATCCTGTATGTGTGTGTGTGGACTGTAAGTGAGGAGGGAGTTGCTCTATCACTTTGTACAATCATATTCCACTCAATGCTTGTGCTTCATGACTAATTGCTCAGTAAATAACGTGAAGCCAAACAGAGGCAGCTGGGAGTCTAGTGCGCTCATTAGGATGAGTGGCATCGCTGAACGAGGCGAACAAACACAACCTGTGATTACTCAAATCAAGACGCTGGCGCTCCAATCAGAACAAACCAAACCTCATTTACATTTTAAGGCGTTTAGTTTACACCCTTATCCACAAAGAGAGAGACTTGGAGTGAGCGCAGGGCGTTTAAGCAACCAAAAAATATCACTGTATTCATTATGAAACATTAAAGGCCCCATGACGTCTTTACTTCCTTAATGTGATCAGTTGCCTTGACTTATGAGTTTAGTATGGGTTTAGGACAAGTCAAATTATTTTGGATTTTTTTAAGTTTTTGTCTTCTCTTTTGTTAGTTCATCATTAAATATTTTACAATTCTTTTCAAAACGCACCTTTAAACAGTCTTTTAAAGACATTTTTGGCTCATGCACATTGTTCTATTTCTTTTGACTTCTATTGTCGTATTGTATTGGTAGACTGTAGAAATGAAAATGGACGTAGTCTGTGTGACGTCCCCCAACAGCTAGGTTTCTGGGTAGCTGTTGAAGCTCAGTGTGGTTTCTCTGCCTGTGGTCATCTGACTCCATCTGCTCCTGGGGGGCAAAGGCGTGGCTGCTTGTGACAGCACCCACCTGTCACTCCAAAGCGGCCATACTTTATATTATGTATGACTTTAAGATTAAAATGGGTGAATTAGCTACACAGACTGAAACAGGCTGTAAACACGTTTATTTCTGCTGTGAAGTTG